AAAGTAAAATAAGAAATGCACATTTATTCATTTTTACAATTATTAATTTAGCAAATAAATAAACATCCTGAAATAATTTGGATTATATATGTAAAACATGTATTCATTTAGCAAATAAAATATAATGAAATATGTATATTTATATTACAAAATGTCATTTACTTTTCTTTTTTTACACGTATTCTTTTAGCAAATAAAAATGTATATATATATACAATATTTCATTAAAATGAATGCTTAATAAAGTCCATTTGGGAAAACACACACACACATATATATACAGTATATATATATATATATAATTTCTTTTTTTACATGTATTCATAAATAATATAATAAAATGTATATGTTATGTTATGATAGTTTGTTTGTTTGTTTGCTCAATGAATTCATGTAAAAATAAGTTCTATCACTTGTTTTGTCATTCAAAACAGTTATGTAAATACCATAGTACATTTACTGTATATGGTTCCATGGAATCAATGTAGGGTGGAATTAACATCTGATGCCATCATGTGATGCGTTGTCACAGAGAAACAGTCATTTTCCAATACAGAGACTGTGGTGGATTCGCATGCTGATGTGAGCGTATGAATGTGATGGTGTTTGCTCTCATTATGGATAATTATTCCATGACCTGAGGTGAGAGTCGGAGCTGCTCTCTTCAGGCCTGCAGCTCAATAACAGCGTGTTGAACTGCTCTCTTCACAGACACCATGATGAAGCACCTGCAGTCGTTTTTTTAATTCAGCAAATAATTTAATAATCTGCTATTCTTTAGATCTGCATCACTTATAACTTTTTCAGAGAATAGCAATTTTTTTGGCATGAAAATTTTGACTTTTAATTGCATCAGACTAGTGAACAAAGCCTTAATAGTTTGCAAAAAAAATAAAGAAATCTGTTATCATTATGGGTTTGTATGACTGAAGTTTGCATCTGTCCTCATTGCCTGACGCTCCTCAGGTTCTCAGTACCCATGGAATCAATGTAGGGTGGAATTAACATCTGATGCCATCATGTGATGCGTTGTCACAGAGAAACAGTCATTTTCCAATACAGAGACTGTGGTGGATTCGCATGCTGATGTGAGCGTATGAATGTGATGGTGTTTGCTCTCATTATGGATAATTATTCCATGACCTGAGGTGAGAGTCGGAGCTGCTCTCTTCAGGCCTGCAGCTCAATAACAGCGTGTTGAACTGCTCTCTTCACAGACACCATGATGAAGCACCTGCAGTCGATGGACGCGGCCCGCAGCTTCTCGGAGTTTCGTCAGGAGGCCAGCATGCTCCACTCCCTGCAGCACCCGTGTATCGTGGCTCTGGTGGGCATCAGCATCCACCCGCTCTGCTTCGCCCTGCAGCTGGCGCCGCTGGGCAGCCTCAACACCATCCTGGAGGAGCGAGCCAAAGGTCTGACGCATGGACATTAGCACAGGAATTAGCCTGTCTTTGTCTGTGTTTGCATAAAACATCGCCAAACATTTAAAGATTAGCAATAATGATCATGCAACAATATAGTATCATTTATTATATATACATTTTTATTTGAAAGTCAAATATTACTTACAAATATTAAAGATTTTAAGAAAAACCTTTGGCCTATGTTTTATTATTAAAATACTACAGTGTATATATATATACATATATATATATATTTTTTACCTTTATTCATTTGGCAATA